GGAACTCCATTTATTTAACACATAGCAGTGTTAAGTACGCAAGGAATCTCTTAGGTAAAGCCTGTATGTTTGAGTGTGCTCTCAGAGAAGAATCACACTTGGGGGGCTCAGAGAGTCAACTCTGCAGTGAATGTAAACCACCGTGTGCCAAGCAGGATGAAAGGTTTTATATAAGTTATTGCTCTAATACTACATTTGTGGAAACAATCATTTCCAAGCCTGTATACCTTTAAAGGCAGGACTCCTGCCTTAAGTGAAGGGCTATGAGAGAGCCTGCAAAGTATTCATAGTGCAAAAAGATGTTACAAAACTGAATGTAAAATATAATAGATGGAATCATGAAGATTTATATTTGAGGCCATTATCAAATACTGCTGTTGAGTGGTACAGCCCCATACGGTCACTGGGGAATCAGGCCTATGTCTACCAGTGGTGAACCCATTCCCAGGACTTTGGGATGAACCAGGATGTGAAACTGTTGACTACAGTTACAGGCATGTGCAATGGGTTGGTATGGGCAGGTAATGACTGAAAACAATAAACAAGCATCAATCAAATGTAATATTTATATTGAAAGGAATTTCTTTTTGCTTGAAAATGTAGATATAATACTAGAACTTGAATACAGAGATTAAGAAATATTTGAAAGTCCAGAATCTCTTTGAACTGCATGGACAGTGGAAACTTTAAAATCAGACCTTTCCACGTTATCCCAACCAATATTTGCCTTTGGACAGTCATTTGATCTAAATCACTCTGGAAGTAGCTTGTGCAATACAGACCTACTACAGAATCACACAATCTCACCATGCGGGACATAAACTCTAAAGTACAAATCCGTGTAGACAGCACATTCGCACCACACTTTACCTCTGCAGACATTTCATCCCTGAGATTTCACCACACTGCCCAGTTTAGCTTAGCTTGGGTCTTGACTGTATGTGAATGAGAAATCAGGATGTGATGTGATGCTGAGCTGTCTGGCACTGAAAGCCATCTTCGGGTGGCTCTTGAAAGGCAAGGCCCTTGCCAGCGTTACAAAAGCTATGACAATTCATGCAAGAGGAGCAGCTCAGAAATTAACCGTGCCAATCTCAAACACTTGGGGCCAAGACTTCACTTGTATTTATACACAGATCTGACAAAACGGAAGAGAAGAAAAAGTGGAAGGTAGTGCTGAATGGTGGAAGAAGGGGAAACACATGGCAGCAACAACACTATACCCCTCCCACCAACCCTCAGCAGCAAAAATCAGACAAGGTGGGCAGTGGACTCACCAACAGCTTGCTCCTTTCAGGAGTCTTGTGCTTTGGGCAGCTGACCCAGTCCTTCCCTTTGTCTGGACCAAAGCCCAAATCCCTGCATTCACCCCCCTTCCTGAAGTCAGAGCTGTCATGGGGCTTGTTTCCTGATGATTGCTGTCACTCATGTACCTCCCCCTGCTTAACTGCAAGGCACTAAGTTTAAAACATTGCAACAAAAAACTACCAGGTTCAACTAATTCCTAAAAGGGATTATTCACTTTTATAGCATTGGATGGAGAACAGTCATGCCTTGGCACCTTCTCATTTATTCCAGATCAGGAAAAATAGCAACAGAGGGGACTGTGACACATAGGTCTCTGAAGAACAGACATGCCTTCTTTCACATGCCCTGAATAGACGTTTTGGACTGTGATGGTTGTTGAATAACTCTCACATGGGCTTCAAGCCCAGACTTACTCTTCATTTCTGAAAGACTTTGGGAAACTTTAATATGAACAATGCAGAGAGCCCAGGAGCATTTAATCCCCGCTAGAGTGGCCAGTGAAAATCAATGCGCCCCAGAACTGGGGTTTACAGGTGTGCAGCTCTGATACCTTTACTTTGGACCATGAAACCAGTTATGTTCTGATCTCTGATGTTTTCATGGCTCACCAATCTGGCAGGCACATTCACTTCTTACACTGTGCCAGGAAACATGTCCGGGAAATAGCTGCATTTTGGAAAGGTCAAGTTGGTTCTCAAGAGCTAACAGGATTCAATGCCATTGAGAAGACAGAGGACTGACAGGCAGATTCATGCACAGACCATGCCATTGCCTTAGTACTTTCCTGTTAGAAAACCAGTGCAAAACATGCAATACAACCTACACAAAATCCAGGACAA